TGTGGGGGACGGGAGGGAGGAGGGGGCAGGCCTGCATGCACAGGGGCCTTAGCTGGAGGGAGGGGGTGCTCGGATAAACACCGTGCTCTTCTCCTGCTTGTGGCACGTTAAATTCCTATGGGTGTCTTTCACTCCCGCTTTCTGCCAGTCTGGAAAATCGGTGTTGACAAACTTTGTTTCGGAGAGCATAGAAGGGATTGGCAGCTACAGCCCGACGCAAGGTGTAAGGTGAGCAAAACCTCGTGGCGTGCTGACCGAACCAAACCCCTGACAGAAACTCCGGCTCTCTGGTTGTGGTGATGTGGAGAATGACATGACGTTGCGTATCCGCTCATTTTCACAGGATCCTGGAGTATGAGAAGCCGAACTTGAACGGTAACAGCAAGGGAGCTGGGTGTCGATTTGAGTTGTGGGATTGCAGTGGTGATCAAAAGTAAGCCAGCATTGTTGTTACTTCCTCCCAGTTACTTAATTCATAATAGTTCTGTTTACACAAAAGATTCATACTTAAGGTCTAAAAAAAGTTATCTTTGTGAGATGAGAAATATTCCCAACTCTTTACCCCGTTGTATTTTTTTAATGCTCTCTGCTATAAAGCATCTGATATTAGGTACTCTCAGCCATGATCTCAGCTGCCACTGAACTGTGTTTTGGATAAGGACTGAGTATAACAGTAAAGTCCATAGCTCCTAGAATGAAGTTACAGGTACAGGAGACAGAGGCCCACTCTGTAATTGCCTTTTTCTCCTTGACGTTTTTATGTGAGTGGACTTCAAACAATGTATGTATATGACTGAGGCCTTAATTTCCAAAAGATACAATTGAGAACCGGACAGATCCATTTTTAGGGAAAAAGTTTAAATGAGCATGTGACCAAATACTAATTGTCAGCAAATCATGGGACCAACTAACATAATAGCTAAGTCAAAATATTTGGAATGTGATAGATCACTGGCAAGATTACTAATGTTATAATAAAGAAAAAATACTGAAATGTGTTCTTGAAGAGGGAAGAAGAAAACTTGGGGAAGTGTGAGCACATGTTTCTGTTTTCCAGGTATCAGTCTTACCATTTTCCATGCACCTGTTTTTCAAGGTTTGAAACATGCTGGCCAGCTCTGATGAAGGACTCTCATGGCGTAATAATAATCTTCAATCCTGAGCTGCCCAGTCACCTGAAAGAAATTGAAATGTGGTACTCCTGTTTCGTGCAGCAGCAACCACTGCTTGATAGTCAGTGTCTCCTGGTTGCACATCACAAGCCAGGCAGCATGGGGGACACGGAAAATCTGTCCTTGGGTAAGAAGATGGAAAACTCGATGAATAACTCAGAGTTTTTTATTGATCTATGTATCTTTAAAATTGTTCATACCTTATGGCTCGCATTTTTCATTTAAATCTGCCAATCAAGGAATAATAGTGCTTTGCAAAAACAGAAATAATGAATTTCAAACATCATCTAGAAGGTGAGCAATATTCCTGTTTCACAAAAGGGAAAGTAAAGGCAAGAAAAGTTGGGGTGACTTTTCTAAAGTCACACAGTGAGTATGCAGCTGAGCCAGGAATTAGAACTCCTGCCGTATTTCGTCATCACTAGTAGTTTGGTTTTTACATTGAATTTTATCTTTTGTTAACTGGCACTTTTGAGGCCATTTAAGCCTGCATTTTATCGCTCAAAAGAATAGGAGCCCTTTGAAATAAAAGGCTGACAATCTTCCTATTAAAATTAGTAATAGGTACTATTACTACAATATACTTATATACTGCAAAATTATTAGTGGCTGTTTATACAAATGAGAACACATATTCCCTCTGGGCAACCTGTTCCAGTGTTCAAACAAATACATATTTAGTATAAGTATTATTATATTAATGCATATTTAATATGACTATATTGTTCCGTAATTTTGAAGTTATCAAAGAATGTCATATCACTTCAATAGTAAAACTGAAATTCAGTACTGAATTGTTTGATTCTGCCTAACTGAATGTGAGACTAAAACCAGTACTTTAAGCTTTAATAATAATGTCTGAAGAATTTACAAACAAGTACAACTTGTTGCTAGATTAATGCTAACAAGCTATGATGTATTTCTTCTTCACGTGTTATATGTTATTTGGGGTATCAAACGTTGGATACTACTGAACTCCAACTGACTTCAGCATGAGCTGTCCTATGACCTTGATTGTGACTATTTCTTTTATAAAAGGAATATACCTAACTATTTTTTCTTTACCTTCAAAGCTTACCCGCTGAACAAGCTAAAACTAATACATTCCAACTTAGAAGAGGATCCTGAAGATGTTCGGATGGAATTTATGAAATACTTCAGAAGCCTTATCACCTTAATAAATGAGAGCAGAGAGAGGGAAGAAATGTCAATTATCTCATAACATTAAAAGAAATACTGAACAGGGAAGAAAAGGGGTTATTTTCACTTTGTAAGCTGTACTAGCCTGTGAACAGGTCCTCACAACAAGAATTTTCCAGCCTATAAACACTTCAACCTATAAACAAGTGCTGATATCAGATGAACTGTGGTGCCAAACAGCTGGCTGCACATCCAGGAATTTGGTAACTTTAGCTGCACTTTGGTTTCATTTGGCATCACAGGTACAGGAAGGTATTGTTTAATATGTTAGTGTGGACCAAAAGATAAAGGTATGGGCCCTCTCTTCACTTCAGAGCCCCTTTTTGTAGAGGTGCTAAGAGAAGAAAGCCTGACAGAACATAAGATTTGTGGAGTTCTGTTGAAGCATCGGAGTAAAGTGCTCATGTTAGCTGTGTTCATGGAGAAGTTATGCTTTTGGAACTCAGTACAAACCGACTGGAATAGAGATCTGAGAAGCAGTCGTGGTGTGGAATCCACATTTCTTGTGTTCCAAGTTCTTATCTTTCTGTCCAGCATCTGAAGAGAGCGCATTGCATAGCTGTTGCCTTGGCAAGACAGAGTAGGTTGCAGCCTTTCTCAGGACTAGGTTTTTCTTCTATTCCAACAAAATAAACATGTTGTTGGGGACAATGTTTAGATCTCTGGGAGGAAAAGAACTGAAATCTCAGTGTAGTACAATACTTTGACCTATGTCAGGTGCTCCAACAGAAAAAAAAAAGTTCTGCGTTCTTCAGAGGAGGAAAAGCTGTTTTGAAACGTGTATTACTGTTCCCTCTTGCATTGAAATAAGTGGTTTCATAGACAATTTACTTTCTCATTTGTTTGGTTTGTGCTCATCCCTGTTCTTAGTGTGTTTTGCCGTGGAAGACATTTTTTGTAACATGCAGTACTAAGGCAATAAAAATATTTTTAAAATGCATCCTTTTTGTTGTCAAAGAGAAAGTTAATTATGGTCTCGTGGAACTCTTATCAACTTGCCTAATTTCTAGTAAGGAAAACAGTGATAAATTTGTAGTACATTTCACACTAATTAGCACCAATAAGAGATGTTTACAAAAACGTCATTGACCCAAATAGCCAAAGAAAAGACAAATGCAAAACAGAAGCGTCTATCCATACTGACACACGCTTTTTTCTCCCCAGAAGATAATTTATGGGAGAGTGGGACTGGGAGCAGGAACTGCAGAAATCCTTGAGAAGCATCCCATTTCACCTTGAACTGCAGCTCACCTTGTGAAGTGTGAGATCAATGGCTTGTCAGAACGATGTCTGACCATAGCGCTAAATTTTACAGATTTTTGTTTCACTCCATATTCATGCCACACATATATTTGAGCTGCAGCTGTTATACAAGTATATTTAACAGCCTTGTCCTCACACCAGCATTGTCTTTTAGTAAACATCCTTTACAGAACGTATGTTATAAACCAGGAAGTACTTGATGTATTTTAGTTTGAGACAACAGGAGTGACAGCTTCTTGGGTTTTTCAGTGATCTAGGTTAATTAGTCTACTATTTTTCCTATTTTCATAGTTCGTTCTTTTCTGAGTAATGAGTAGCCTTCAAACTGTGTAATCGGGGCTTTCTCCGGGGTTTTGTATGGGAAGCTTCAGCAAGCGCAGAGAGCAGTCAGGGTGTCGTGCACCGCCACGGGCTGGCGTTACCAGCAGCTCGGGTCCCGTCCTGGCCTTCTCAAAACACCCGCAGGTCTCAATGCAAAAAAGTGGCACTCCCTTTCATTTATCAGTCCCCTTCAATGGGACTCAGTGTAGCAGCGTAACAATGAGTGCCTGTAGCAGCCCAAAATAAGTTACCTTTGTTGTTGCTTTCAGGTAGAAGATTTTTCAGTAATTTTCATGTACTTCTACATCATCATGCTCAGAATCAACAAACACATTGCTAAAGTCTGAAAGACTCTTCAGCCCAGTTGTGTTTTGTACTTCCCTGGGTATTCTTCTCTTTGATTATTAAGCCTTGTTTATTTAAAACAAAGGCACGTGAGGTTAAAGATTAAGAGATCTTAGAACAGTTCCAGGTTGTAAAACCAATGGCTACAAATAACACAACAAAACACACTGAGCTAGGCTCGTACTTTAGAGAATCGCTATTCCAATGCTATGCTGGTTTGCTCAGGTTGGTACCAGGTGTGTGGCATGTGAAGTTGTGTGCACACACAAATAACCTGCACTGTTCGGGTCTTGGGTGCTTGGTGTGCTCACAGAATTTGCTGCCCCAGCTTCTTTTCATTGTTTGCTGGCTCCTATTCTGCCACTAAAGCTAAAAGCTCTGCTCAGTCCTGAGAGGAAAGGGGGGGGGGGGGGGGGGCGGTACTGAAAGAAAACATCAGTGAGTGGAAGGACACCAGGAAAGAAAATAGCAAAATAAGCAGCAAGAGATGAAAAGGTTGGAGGCGAATAGCGGGAGGTTGGCATTTCAACATCTACATTTTATTTATATGACTTTTGAAACAATCAGGCTTTATATGTTTGCAATCAGTGTCATAGGGTGGTCTATTGGAGGCAGTTATTGGAAAATTCACAGTCAAACTAGAGAACAAGTTTTTTTACATGCTGCCTTAGATTATTTTTTCCTCATTGCCAGCTGTGTGGTGCTGGAGCCAATTTTTAAAATATACTGCCTTAATAAATTCAGTTTTTCCCAACAGCAACATTGTAATATGCACTGGTAAAGACTGGTGTGAAACCCACCAAATATTTTATTTGGAATGTAAACCAGTGTTTGGGCGATTCCAGGGTTGAAAAGTCAATGAACTCTCCTATTCACCACCTTGCTTCATATAAAATGTTAATCATGATCTTACTTTAAACTCAAAAAAAGGATGTAAATTACAGGTATCTAAATACCGCAACACATTGTTCATTAGAGAAGAAAAATACTGTTAGACAGAACCAAAGACAGATCCCTAGACTTGACTTTATATCATCCAGAAAGGTCATGATATGTAATAAATGTGGAACATCATTCATAAAATCTGGCCAAGAGATTAATTTCAGTGACTGCTGAAGAGAGTAAATGCATAGACCCATGCAAAATTAATCCTTAGTATTGGAGAAGATACAGAGAAAGTATTTATTCAGAAGTATCATTTATTAATGATTTATGAAACAGGTCAACAGAGACATCCAGTTAGGAGTATGAGGATGCCAGATGAACATATGTTACGTCTCTGTCCCTGCCCTTTACAGCCTGCCTTTCCTCTGCTAAGCCTGCAGAGCTTCAAACAACGCCCCATCGCGGCGTTCCTCAGATTGGGGGTGCGCAGTCCTATTTGTCTGCCTGAAGCAGTGTGGTTAATAAGTGATTGTTCTACGGCTCTGTCTGTCCTTCTGCTTGTGAGACCAAGGAATTGCCTAGACAAGTGTAAAGGAAACTGGAAACATGAGGTAATCAGCCACAAGTTACACGGAAGTCAGTTGGCAAACCACAGGTTTAACTAATAGGAACAATTTAGGACCAGAAGGTAACAGCAAATTTGCAGCAAAAGTGCACTATTTTACTCTTCCACACTGCAGATCTTACTGCCATGCTTGGAAGTTTGGGAAGGCTTTTTGGATGACCTTTCCAAGAACTGGAAGGGAAGGCAGAGAACCAAACAAATGTAGCCTTCTCTAGGTGTCCTCAGTCCCTTAGAGTGACAGTCCATGTCCCCTTCTCATCCTATCAGCAGCCATGTACTCCCAGACCACTGCTTTGTATGAACTGTGCACAAATGGGAAGCCTCAGAGTTCCCTGTCCCTTTCTGTGGTTCCTTGTCCATACTGGAATTCAGTGGCCATTGCTCCAGTGGCTTTTCTGTGACCACTTGCATTGTCATGGTTTGGGTAACTGAGGCTGGAATCAGGGACACAGAACATTTTAAATAATAATTAATTCATATACATTCAGCCTCCACAGTGCAGAATCCAAAGACTCTAGGATAAGCCAACTGTGCAGTGAGAAAACAACCTATTACTTAACCAGAAGTTATTCAGGTGCAACATTATTTTGTCACTTGGCACTGAGTATTAATAATCCCCAACAGTTTACATCACTATATTCATGATGTACAGAAATTATTTTCAGTTTTATTGCTGTATAGCTACAAAAAAGTTTATAGCTATAGGTGAGCTCTACTCAAGTGCACACTCATCTCCCACGAAAGTAGTTGGTACGTCATTGCTTTGGACAGTTGTCCTATCTGGACAGGGTCAGCATGAAAATTGATAGGGAGCAGTCAGAATCAGAAAAACTCTGCAGGGCTAGAGATGCAGAATTTTAAGACTTCAGGGTCATATATAGAAAGTTAATGGCCGTGGCTATCTTGCAGATTGGTGATTTAAGACATTAAAGCTCTTCAATAACAAAATAGAGTTTGCTCAGGTTACCTCTTACAAGCTGTTTTCTGCACACGCAGAACATTATGAAGCCAATAACTACTTATGATGATGAAAACAGTTACAGGCACTGCAATCCAGATGTGTAGCTTCCAGGGCAAAAACGTTTACAACCAAATTTTGGGATCAGCAGCAAAGCTGAATTAAATACATTTGGACCTTACCAAAAAAATGCAGCTTTCTTTTCAAGTCATGTATTTTGAAGGCCAGGCCTTTGGTCTCAGTTGCTCTCAGCAGTATTATTCAAATGGACACAATAGACACAAGAAACCCTGTGTTCCTATTCCTATTCTTGAACTGCCAAGTGACTACAAGGAAGTCACACAGGCCACCACATTTAAGAGTGCCCATCCATGCTGTGTTTTTACATGCTCAGTTTAAAATCTGTAGGGTGCTGATGTGCAGACACTTTAGAAAGCAACTTCTAGAAGGTATCCAGGACTTCTTAAAATCAGATCTTAAACTACTCAACTTTTCAACAGGAGTACTTTGCTCTGGAGGTCACTTGTGAGTATTGCCTCATTTCTCCAGAAGTCTTTGCTGGTGAAATACTTCAGTGGTGCAGCAAAATTTCCCCAAAAGACCAATTTACTTTGTGGAGAAGTTGCCTTTCCCAAGATGCTAGAAACACTTTAACAGTAACTCACATAGCTTTAGTCAGTAGTCTTCATGCACACACAGACACTACTGCACTTGTGAATAAAAGATACCATATCCTACTACTCCAA